ATGTTTAAACTCGATTAATCTGGCAAAAAGACTTTGTACATTTTGAGAGCACGTGGATAATATGCTCATCATAGCTCAAACATTCATCAAATTCCATCCCTAATTCCCGGGCTGAAGATACCGGTCGTAGTTCCTTTTCAAGAAAAGTCACTCGAAAGTATTGCACATGATTGAGCATTTGTGTTGTACCAAACAGAAGAAGTTTAGTCTTTTCGGGATTGGCAAGTAGGCTATTTGAGCAACACCAGGCAGCGATTCTCCTCAGATCGTCTGTAAGCTGAATCTCAGCAACATTAATTTCATTGTATGAGAATGAAAAGAAAATTTTAGAGTCATCTACATACGATTCTAATGGACATACAATGTATGGGAGTAGTTGGAAGATCGTTAATATAAATGCTAAACAACGCTGGACCAAGTGTTGATCCTCGAGACACACCGTGTGTTATCGCACGAGCTTCCGATAGTATATGACCAATCCTCACAAAGTGAGTTCTGTCTGATAGGTAGGTAGGTAACTCTTAAACCAATCCACAGTTTCCCTTGACACGCCCATCGAATGCAGTTTTATGAATAGAAACGAATTTGTTACCAGAGAAGTACCAGGCGGAAAACGAATTCTAATAATAAATATTAAAGCCCAGCAAAGTGCTTTTAAAAGAGCCATAAACAATTAATTTTAAAATTTTTAATAAAGATTTAGTAACGTTTCGTCTTAACTTAAGACATCTTCAGACTATATTAAATTACAAGCTGTAAGAGTTATTAAGCTTAAATTAAAGCTATTTAGCAATATTAAATTACAAGAGAGTATGAGGTACACAAAACGTAAGGATAAGAAAGGATAATGAAAGGAAGTGACGAACAAAAATGAAAACATACAAATTGGACGACAACACATACAGACAAAACATAAAGAAAGAGAGAGATCAGAATAGATGAAGAGGAATTGAACTGCCTTGAACGTTGAGAGAGGGCTTCATTTTAGAGATAAGAAAGCTTTCATAAAATACAAAACAATAGATACTCCGAAAATTGAAAGCAATTTGAAAAATTTTGTACTTAAAAGAGAAAAAGGTGGAAAGCCGTTTAGTTGATCGAAAGACAAATCTTATATCAAGATGTGGGAAAGCAGCACGACAAAGACGGTTAAAGACACAATACCCAAAGCTCTGAAGTCGGGTGTAGTGTACTCTTTTACGTGTCGATTCTGTTCCGCATCGTATGTGGGTCAAACCAGGCGCCATCTACACACCCGAGTTTCGGAACACCTGGGTATCACTCCTATCACTGGCAAACTATGTAAAAATCCTCCCCAGTCTAGCATCTTCTCACATCTTACATCCACAGGCCACACTGCCTCTATTGACGACTTTGAAATCCTCTCCTCTTGTTCAGATGACCAAGAACTCCTTATTCATGAAAGCTTTCTTATCTCTAAAATGAAACCCTCTCTCAACGTTCAAGGCAGTTCAATTCCTCTTCACGTATTCTGATCTCTCTCTTTTTTTATGTTTTGTATGTATGTGTTGTCGTCCAATTTGTATTTTTTCATTTTTGTTCGTCACTTCCCTTCATTACCCTTTCATATCCTTACGTTTTGTGTACATCATACTCTTTTGTAATTTAATATTGCTATATAGCTTTAATTTATGCTTAATCTTACAGCTTGTAATTTAATATAGTCTGAAGATGTCTTAAGTTAAGACGAAACGTTACTAAATCTTTATTAAAAATGTTAAAATTAATGGTTTATGGCTCTTTTAAAAGCACTTTGCTGGGCTTTAATATTTATTATTAGAATAAATAGAAACGAATGTTCAATGCTATCGAACGCTTTCGACAAGTCGAATCACACAACTGCTGTCAATTCTTTCCTGTCCATGGCATCAAGAATCATATCCGAAACAAGTATATTAAGTGTCACAATTGAATGCATCTTCTTGTTTCCACTCTGATGTTCGGTGAGACACCCTTTCTAACGCATATATTCCATCAATTGATTGAGTGCAGACCGTTCACAGATCTTAGAGGCCACAGTAAGCAGGGACACGGGGCGGTTATTGTTAGGTATTTTGTAATCCCCCTCCTTTAAAATTGGGATAGCCACCGATTTCTTCCAAGCTAATGGAAACACCGCAATTAAAAAGGAGCGGTTTACAATCTCGGTTAGGGTTGGAAGAATTATAGGTAGAGTATCCTTTAGATAGATAGATAGGTTTATTAAAAAGAATCACATTGCGGTCTACAATGACTGAATTGCGTGTTATTTTACAAAAGAGGTTAAGTTCTATAGAGCTATAATTTACAGGAACATTTTATATATAAAGTTAATAGAATTTATACTATAAGTTTTATAAATAGATTTATGAAAATTTATGTTGAAATGTTATATAAAATTGAGTATCTAAGAAAATTCTTTGATGCACGCCGGTATAAAAGTTTTCAAAAATCTATCTGTTTTTATCTTTGGAAGATGAAACTCTCGAGTTTTTCTGAAACCGTAGTTCGAAGAGTAACGTTCTGGCAGAAGGGATGATAATTTATGATGTGGATTGTTGATGAGTTGATTTAATAGTTTTGAGCAGGCCTTGTATCGCCGATCACTGGGGGGAATAAGGTTGCATTTTTGCAAACGCTCGGGATACGGCAAGCCTGGGAAAATTATTGAGGCCACTCTTCTTTGGACTTGCTCAATGGCGTCACTAAGATAGGTAGGCAGGGTCAAATGGAAAACTTCGCAGCTGTACTCGAGTACAGGCCTTGCACATGTGCAGTAAAAGTTAATTATATCTTTGGCGGGCACTTTTGCGCGTTTAAGCTGTATAATAAAGTATTTTCGTTTGTTGACCTTCTTGATCATTTCGAAAACGTGTTTGGACCATTTCAAGTCGTTACTGATTGTCAGTCCCAAAACTTTAGCATGATCAACTAGTTCGAGAATTCCAGAACTTAGGACGATAAACTTTGTCCACGCCCGGTGCCTTATATGATGGAAATATTACTTTTAACAAGTCGAAATGCAAGACGATGACTGTTACTAGGAAGAAACAACCTATCCCCTTTATCTATCATCTTGAGCTGTTTCCTATCAATAAAGTACAAGAAGAAAAAGATCTCGGTGTACTAATGACCATGCAGTAGCCTATCATGGGATTTCCACATCCAAAGAATATCTGCGAAAGCCAATAGAATGCTCCGGCTATTGGAAAGAACCTGCCCTTTCTTGACAAAAGTGCGTGTCAGGAGAACTCTGTATTTGGCCTTTGTCAAATCACAAGTATGCTACGCAAGTGAAGTCTGGTCTCCTCACCAAAGTAACCTGAAAATCAAATTAGAACAAATACAAAGGCGTGCCACTAGATGAATCCTGAAAGTTAAGGTGGGAGATGTTCCGTATCGAGACAAGTTATCTATTCTAAATATGTTACCTTTATGTTATGATGGAGAAATAAGAGACTTGATGATCTTCTATAAAGCTGTCCATGGATTTTACGACTTAAATGTGGAAGATTTTGTCTCCTTTGTCACTCATGGGCGAACACGTCTCAGTAGTAATTCCACTGTTGTTTTAAAAACACCATATTGTAAAACAACTACTTTTCAGGCCTCATTTTTTAATCGGATTGTAAAGATATAGAACTCTATATGCAAAGTTGTCACATGTACCAGCTTTACTAGTGTCACCACTTTTAAAACGTTCCAATGATTATAATGAACTTTTATTGAATGTTTTTTATGCAAATTTGACATGTACTTGGTCAGTTGTTAGAGATTGTGCTTGTCACAGGAGTTAAAGCACGTTTACGCGCTACGACTGGTCGGGCTTTCACGACCGATGTCACCAAATGACGTTTTATCTGGCTTACAAATAATTATTTTAACATAGGTCCTACTATAGAGCATCGTTGGAAATTTGACGATTTTTTCAGGGGCAACCGAGTTTTTGCAAATATTGAATAAATTTTGGTTTGTTATGGTCTATAACATTCATTTCACTTAGCGTTAATTTCGCATCTCAAGAAAATCATCTCGTTCTATGTTTAATTCAACATATTCCCTCCTGCCTAGTAATATTATAGGTAATTTTCACAAAATCGATTAGCCAACAGAAGTATTGCGCAATCGAATGTCGCTTATTTCTGGCCATGTATTTCTAGACAATTCTCTAAAGGGAAGTTTACCTTTGACCCAATGGCCTCATTTCCACGATTCATCATTGGTAGGATGGTAGTTGCGCATGAAGGTTATATCCCCTATGTTTCCTGCACAAATTTGTTTCTCCTTCATCATTTAAGGTGGCTCAATACAGTTTTTGAAATATGACAAATCGTGATTTAGATTTAATTTTTTGAAGAGAGGTTTCTTGTTAGAAGACAAAAATTGTACCACATATATTGAGCAATCTTTTAAGAGTTGAAAATTGTTCACAAAAATGACGTAATTACCGTTGCTATGGTAACAACGACGTTTTAATATGGCCGACATTTTACCTTTTAAAACACTTTACTCGAAAAAAAGGCCGGTTACCCCCATTTTTTATTTCGTAAAACGTTTTCATCTAGAAAAATGAAAAATGGATGATGTGAACAAGTTTAAAAAAATTCTGTAGATCAGAATTTTTTAAAAATTAAAAAACGTGATTTTTCATGATAAATATTTTTTGGATCTAAAGAATTTTTGGATCTACAGAATTTTTGGATCTACAGAATTTTTCTACGAATTGTCTCACCCTGTGCACGGAATACGAATAAATAACCAACATGAAAATGAAGCCATTGGGTCAAAAGTGGATATTAAGGTCTACTAATCTATTAGCTGGCAATGCACACTACTTTCAGTAATAACTCTGTCTAACGCCAGACAAATTTAGTATTTACTGTTTAACTACTTTAGTATTTACTGTATAGAGGCTTTGCATGGTCACGTGACTATCGCAACAAATTTAAATTTGCCGCCATGACAGGAGGCAGCCTGAGGCAGCTGTGCATAAACAAAATATGGCTGACACTTTACAGCAATGGGAAGATTTTGTTGCGTTGTTGGCTGCAGTCAGTGCTCTGAAAGAGACAAAAACACAAGATTTTTTAATGTTCCGAAAGTTATACACCACCAGGGTGAAGAAACACGGGATTTGTCGCAACGTAGACTGGCAAAATGGCTATCAATCATTAATCGTGCTTCAGTTACCAATGGAGACGTCAAAAATCCGATGGTTTGCTCACTTCATTTCCACGCCAGTAAGAATTGAAATTACGAAATTTTTTTAAGCAAAGTTATTAGTTTTCTCATTGCTATATTCCACATTTTTAAAAGGACAACCTGCAAGCTTGTTCGATAAAATTCATCCTGACTGGGCACCTACTTTTGCGACGGGACAGTGCCACTCATCAACGACACACAGCACAAATGATGGTTGCTTGGAAAGGTACAACCACTCTAAGGAGAGAACTAAGAAAAGACATTTTGATAACACCACATCTGTGGATAACATTATACAGCAAAGCAATGATGGGAATTCTGTTATTACACCGCGAGAACAATCTGAAAACAATGAACCAGATATTGATTTTGTTAACAACAGTGACGAAGACCAAAAACTTAAGAAAAGCATACCTGTTGCCAACCTTGTCGCAAGCCAAATACAGACTGATATGACTATGGTTGACATAGACCTGCTTACATACAGATCTACCAAGAATTTAAGCCACGACAATTTTGCAAGTGAAGCGTTTTTCCAAGGAGATAACGAGAAGGTTAAATTTTACACTGGGCTTCCTGGATTGGCAGTTGTGATGGTTTTATTTGAACTGATAAAGCCTGGGCTTGTGGTTCGAAACTCATTAACTAAATTTCAACAGTTTTTGCTCACTTTAATGCGACTTCGTTTAAATTTATCTGTTCAAGACCTTGCATATAGATTTGGAGTTCATGCTTCAACAGTGTCAAGAGTGTTTCACAATTGCATCAATGTCATGTACTCTAGCATGAACTTTCTGATTTATTGGCCGACAAAACAGGAACTAAATCTGACACGACCTATGTGCTTTAGAGGAAAATTTTCATCTTGCTCTGTAATACTTGATTGTTTTGAAGTATTCATTGATCGCCCTTCTGCACAAACATGGTCTTCATACAAAAGTCATAACACAGCTAAATTTTTAATTGGTGTGACACCACAGGGCACAATGTTATTCATATCCAATGCATGGGGTGGTAGGGTATCAGATAAATAAACTACTGAACATTGTGGTCTGTTGCAGAAATTATTACCTGGCGACATGGCCCTTGCTGATAGGGACTTTGATATCGAGGACAGCTGTGGTATGTACTGTGCCACATTGAGAATCCCTTGTTTCACTAAAGGTAAAGCTCAGTTATCACCTGTAGATCCTGAAGCTACAAGATCCATAGCAAACGTCAGAATACATGTAGAAAGGGTGATAGGCTGTGGACGTCAAAGGTACAACATCCTTGGACATGGAAGAGCTCCAATTGACTATCTGAAATCTGACAATGGGAAACCATGCTTGCTTGATAAGGTAGTCTTAGTATCCTGTGCTCTTGTTAATTGTTACAAGTCTGTTGTTTCAGTTGATTAGCTTCTAAAGTAAGACCTGTTCACACAAATTTACATTTATGAAATCAAATTTGCTTTTCTGAACTGGGCCAAAGGGAAGCCATGTGTATTTTTTGCATGCATGACCTTATATGTTGTTTTTACTATGTTGTTACAAGGATGTCTCTCATATAGTGTGAATATATGAGAATGTATATATCTGGTAAAATGGGTCGTAACAGAAAACATCCATACCTCCCCCACAGGCAACAGAGGAAATTGAAATTTGACCCCCCTCCCCCTTTAAATGACCCAATACACTTACCATTACTGGAAATAAAGTTTTTACCCTCCCCATCCCGACAGCACACATTTCCTCTGTGGGAGACTATGGATCTTTTCTGGAATGACCCATTAGTATGTAAATATATATCAAACATACATACATTAATTAAAATATTTCTATTAAACTGTTAACAAAAACAGTAAATAAAAACTGTTGTCGAACAGGCATTTAATTTAGAGTAGGTCTGAGGAACCCACTCTTCAGGAGTCGCTAAATCTAATATCTTCTTACGTTTACAATCAGGACATAACCAGATCTTACTTCTAGGTTTCCTAGACAACCCACAGCATTTCATATGAAATCTGCGCAAAACACAAGTTGGACTTTTACAAAATAAATCAAGTGATTCAGTTAGCTCAACTCTACAAAACAATATATACAAGTTTTGTCCAGAAGGAATAGCATAACCATCTGGCCTAGTAAACCATTTTCCTAGAAGCTCTGGCAGAATGGCAGTAATGTATAGTTCTTTGGCTTTAGCTAAATTTTCAGTCAGAAATGACATGTCAATTGCACCCTTTCAATATAATTTTCTGTGGGTGTCCAAACAACAAAGTCAGCTAATTTCAACTTGGTAAAAGCAAGTTGAAGTTGAACTTGGTAAAAGTATGAATGTTTTCTGTCAAGTGTTAGTGCATTAGTAGCATTCTTTATGAAGCACATTTTCACACCATCTCCAACTGCACAAGTAATGGTGGATTCTTTCAAGCACTAAGGGCATTTCACTTCGACACACCCTGCTCCATGACAACTGCAGCTTGAAATACTGTCTGGACTTGCTCCAAGATGTGGAAAATCAATGTTAATTACAAAACCAGACTCCTTGATGGTGAAATCCTTATGTTTCTCCTCCATAATCTTAATAATGGCAAACATAATCAACAACATTAACCCAATGTGCATGTCAGAGCTTGAAATTTGAAACTTGAGCACTATCTAGGGGGATATAAGAAACTTGAAAATATCTTTTGGATATCAGGACACTGCAAATTTCAAGCTCTGCATGTGTCATGCTTACCTGCTTATACTGGCTCACTCTTCATTTTCATGTGTGCAGCCCCACGTGGTTGCCTTTGATGTAAAACTCGAGCCATAACATACTTCCTTAATGAGACTTACAGAAGGTGATGCTGGATTGGTATGCAAGCCTTGTAGAATTTGCTTGCAGTTATTTGTCCGGCTCTCATTTGAAACCATAAAGCTCTGGCTTTTTGTAAACTCTTCAATTAATTTTGCCTGTTCAGAACTAATGTTCATCTTTTGAAAATTGTCAATAGATTTGGCTAGCAAATCTTGGTATCCCACAGAGTTCAAATCAGCTGAGTAAAGTTGGGCTAATGGCTCAGAAAGAGAAGACAGATCAGTTTTTGCAATTGGAAGAAAATTCTTGTTGTAAGGAGTGGTAAGGGATAAGATTGCAGCATGGCTTTCACATTTGTGAAGTTGGTCAAAAAATGTTTTGATTTGGGAAGGAGATGGAACATGTTTGGTGCTGCTTATGTCACTTGTACTAGAACTTACTGCAGTTGATTTGTCAAATGCCAATTTATCCTGACCAAATTCAGACAGTTAATTTATTTTTGTATCCAATTTTTTTTTCTTGGTCTTTGATGATGTGAAATCCATATTTCTAAGTTCTTGATAAGGTACACTTGTTACTGGTGTTGGCATAAGCCATTTGCAGGGAAGGGAGGTACATGTTTTTGCTTTGTTGATGCGAACACCTGCTCCAACAGCGAATAGTAAAGCCACAACGTGTGAACATGTCTCACCAAAGCCAGCGATACAATCACAATTGGCAGTTATTATAGTGCCACCATCTGTTGTAGCTTTCCAGGGTTTTAATGGATTTTCATTTAGGGGCTGAGAATGGTTTACCTTGGGTAAAGAAAAAATGTAAACAAAAGGTCTTGTGTATCAACTATGAAAATACTGGCCCATACATGACATCACATGCATGTTGTTAATTACATTTTGAGGATATAAGGACTTGTAACAAAATATTTTAAATTGTAAAAACAATACAAAAATTTAAACTGTGGAAAGTACTGTTGACTGAAGTTTGTGATTCCCCTAGAAGAACTATTCATTAACATATTAGCCATATATACACCGCACGTCTAAACAAATGCCAGAAGTTATTATCAAAATACTAACCTTTCCGAGCAGAATCTTTATATTACTAGTGGCTTTCCCCACAAATACACATCTAACCCATCCTGCTACAAAATGTTGATACGATTCCAGGCTCTTATATATGAAGGGTGATCAATATCAAAAACATCATTCGTTGATTCTGTACTTCGTTGGATGATTATTCATGTTGTTTAATGATTATGCAAGTTGTTAGATGATTACGTGTTTACCCATTTCACGTGTTTCGTTCGATGATTCCGTATGCTGTCATTCCGTATGACGTTCGATGATTCTGTATGCTGTCATTCCGTATGACGTTCGATGATTCTGTTTTCTGTCATTCCGTATGACGTTCGATGATTTTGTATGCTGTCATTCCGTATGACGTTCGATTATTCTGTGCCTTCAAGCAAACTAACCTGTGGATTCTAAGCCATTGTCTGTTGCTTTGTCTAGCGCATCTAGCGCCCTCGTGTTCTTCTGTGCTCGTGTTGTTTTTATAATTGTTTGGTTGTCATTTCGTTTTTACGGTGCATTTTTTGACATGGATTTACATGAACAGTCACCTTGTGATAAAGATTTCATATAAGCACAGCAACATCAATATTAAGAAATACGTTAAATCAACTTCAAGATTGAAACTCGTCCACACAATCAAGTGCGGAATTGAGTCCTCAAACTGAAAGTCAAGAAGCACAACTACCTGTACCTCGACCTGTACTAGCACCGAGTGTATTACCTCAACAACCAGTTTACAGAACACTTAGTTGAAAACCAGAGATTAACTAACCATCAAAGTGGAAATAGAAAGCTACACTCCACTGAAACCATTAGCCTACTTATCACTGACCACATTTTTAGAGCAATGGACGAAAAAAAGATTTCAGCAATGGTTTTAATAGACCTGAGTAAAGCCTTTGATAGAATTTGCCATGAAAGACTACTCCAAAGGCTCCAAAATGTAGGCGCTTCTTCCTCTAGCGTTGATTGGTTTCAGAGTTATCTATCCGATAGATATCAAGTCACACGCATTGGTCAATCTACAT